TCCATTTTCTGCACATCATCAATACTGATTGTCCTTTTTAAATGTTGCCATTCTACAGAACAGAAAGTGGCATCTTACTGTGGTTTTGACTTACAATTCCCAAGTAGCTAGTGATCTGTATCTTTTCATGTACTTACTTATTTGTAGATCTTCTTTGGAAAAGTGTCTATACAAGTCTTTAACTCTTTTCAAAAAAAAATTTTTTTTGGTCATTTTATTGTTGAGTTGTAAGAGTTCTTCATATTTTCTGAATATAAATCTTTATACATCTATGATTTGCAAATGTTTTCTTCCACCCTGTCCATTTACTTTCTTGATTATATCATTTGAAGCACAAAATTTGTCTTTTTTCAATCGCATGCTGTTGGTGTCATATGTAAAAAAAAATTAAAGGTCACAAAACACACTCCTGTTTTCTTTGCAGCGTTTTATAGTTTACCTCTCACATTTAAGTGTCTGATATATTTGGAGTTAATTTTGGTTTGAGATAAGCTTCCGACTTTATTCTTCTGCATGTGGTTAAGTTGTCCCAGCCCCAGTTGTTGAAAAGACTGTTAATCACCAATAACTATCTCTGGGTCCCTTATCAAAATTCAGTTGACCAAAAATCAGTAAGGGTTTATTCTGGATGCTCAGTTCTTTTCTTTTGGTGGGGTTGGGGAGGGTTGGACTGTCACAGGGATGCTTAAATAAGTCAGTGCCAAGGACGCACAGTTCTTCCATGAAAATAATAGAGGCAATCTTTGTCTGTTTCAGCCTGTACATGTATTCTTAACCCTAGTACCACATTGTCTTCATTATTGCAGCTTTATAATAAAATTTGAAATCACGAAATATGAATCTCCCAAATCTGTTCTTTTTAAAAACTATTTTGGTTATTCTGCAGTCAAATGCTCTACCCCTGAGCTATACCCCCTATTTTGGTTATTCTGAGTCCCTTGCATATCCATATGAATTTTAAAATCAATTTGTCATCGGCAAAAATAAAGCAAGATTAGATATATTACGTTGAACCTATAGTTCACTTTGGAAAGTGTCACATCTTAATGATATTCCATCTTCCAAACCATGAATATGATATAATGCCTTTTTCACTTATGTCTTCTTCAAATCCCATTGACAGTGTCTTATAGTTTTTACTATGCAAGTCTTGAGCTTCTTTTATTTCTTAAATTTTGGGGTCTTTTTGGTGCTTTTCTAAGTTTATTTTCTTTGATTTTAAGTCTATTCTTTGCTGGTATATAGATATAAAATTTACTGTTTATTAATCATGTATCTCACAACCTTGTTGAAATCATTTATTACCTAATTGTAAAAGTTTTTTGCATATGAAATTGGATTTCTTGATTATATACAAAATCATGTTATCTGCAATTAGAGATAATCTACTTCTGTCTTTTCAGTATATATCCCCCCTATTTTTTTCTTCCCCAGTTTCTTCTGTGTGCTGGCTGGAACTTCTACAATATTAAATAGAAATTGTGAAGCCTCATGTCTTTTTCCTGCTCTTAGGGGGAGGCTTTTAGTTTTTCACCAGTGTCACGTTAGCTTTTTTGTAAATACCCTTTATCAGGTTGAGGAATTTCCCTTTGTTACTCGTTTGTTCAGTATTTTCGTAGCTGTGTCAAATGCTTTTTCTGCATCTGTGGAGATGATCATGTGGTTTTTTCCTTTTATGCTATTAATGTATAGTGTATTATATTGATTGATATTTTGAATATTAAACTAACATTGCATTCCAGAGATAACTGTTTCTTGGACATGATGCTTAATTCTTTTTATTTCTAATTGCTGTCAAATACACAATGTAAAATCTGCCATCTTAACCATTTTTAAGTGTACTATTCAGTCATGTTAAGTATATTCACACTGTTGTATAACCAATTCCTGGAACTTTTTCATGTTCCAAAGTAAAATTCTACAATCATTAAAGAACAACTTTCTCTCCCAGACCTTGGCAAACACCATTTTACTTTCCATTTCTATAACCTAGACTAGTCTAGGTACCACAAATAAGTGAATCATACATACAGTACTTGCCTTTTTATGACTGACTCTAATTCACTTAACAAAATATCCTCTCTTTCTAAGGCTGAAAAGTACTTCATGTACTTATATACCACATGTTGTTTATTCTTTCATCTGTCAATGGACATCTGGATTGTTTCTACCTTTTGACTATTATGAATATGCTGCTGTGAAGATGGACATACTAATATCATTTGAGACCCTGCTTTCAGTTCTTTAAGATACATATCCAGAAGTCAGATTGCTGGATCATATCATACATAAGTAGTTTTTATTTTTAAAGTTTGTGTAAAATTCAAATGTGGTCCACATATTTTGATTGGTTTATGTGTCTTCTGAATCTTTTTAATATATAAATTTTTCCTACATCTTTTTTTCTTTGCAGTTCATTTGATGAACAAATCAGGTTGGTTGTACTACACAGTTGTTCACAGTCTGGATTTTGCTGATTGCAAAATTCCCAAGGTGGTGGTCTTTGTATTTCCTGAAAGTGGTAAATGGATCTATAGGCTTGAACAATTTAAGTGGTATTAGATTATTCTGTCAAGAGGCACATAATGTCAGATTGTCTTTCTCTTTGTGGTGTTAACCACACTTGAGTGATCAAAGCATCATTAAGTCATTGGGCTTACCAAAAAATGATATTTTATCATTCCTTATTTAACCAGCTCAAATGCTTCTTTAAAGAGAAACTTCTTATCTACTCTTTGGTGAATCAGTAGTACAGTCTATGTGGGAAAGGCAAGATAAGCTCTACTTTCCCTTTGTTCACAAGTTTTTGATATAATGAGTTGGTTCACTTTCCTTTGGTTATTGCTTTTATTTAGGTATTATTTTGTAATCATGACTTAAACATGTGATATGTCACCCATTGTAGTTATTTTTCTTAATGTAGATTTTTTTATTTTTGGTCAGTGGGAGCCTATTCATTTGGTTCTTGAGTCTTTTTGTCAAGCCCTAGTAACTTTGATAACATTCTTGTCAGTAAAGATGTTCAGACCCCAGCTTGTACATTTCTTCCCCCAAACTTAGTGTCAGTATTTCCTCCCCAAAATCCTGGTTCATTTTATTGAGAAATTGTTTTAGGGACACCTTCTTAATACTAGAGGTTTTTATTACTCTTAGGTTGGTGTTTGTCTCTAGAAATCCTCAGTTGCCAGAAAACAAACTTAGGAGTTAATAACACACTTCAGTACACACGCAAGACAAGTATTTTTACTTAACTACCTTTCATCTTCACCTCTTTTCCTCTTCAATAAGAAAGCTTGTTCTCTGTATTCCCCACAATGAAAGACTTAATATGAGTACTCATTTGTTTTATTTCACTTTATGTAACAGCAGTCTCAAAATTGTGAAACATACTGTTTCCACTAACTGTGGTTACTGGAAAGCATTTTCAATTTTTCCACTGTTATTTTTGCCTTTTGTATATATTCAATGAGAGATAGACAGTCAGATTACTACTCCAAAGTACTTTGAAACACATACTCTATGTGGTTATTCCATGAATTAGATATACACATTGATTTGTTTTTTGCTATTTTTAATTACGGAGATTTTATTTTATTTTATTTTTTTAAAGATTTATTTATTTATTTATACAAGCACTGGGTACAGTCAGAAGCGTGGGAGGGTGAGAGAATTCACCAGAGTCAGAGCCAGGAGCAGAGCAGGCAGAAGGACCGAAGTACACTGCTGAGGGGAGCAGCGGGGCTGCAGGAGAGGTCTGCGCGCCATGTGGGACCCTCCTCCTGTGGCCGGGGAGCAGCTGGGGATTGAACCAGCGCCGCAGAGGTTGCGGGCAGCTTTGCAGCCCAGCGCTCAACCGCTGCACCACTGGGGAGGCCCAATTATGGAGATTTTAAATGTTCTAATTGTAGGATCTGTTACATGATTCCAAAGTAAAATCTTTAGGAGGAAGATTATTCAATCAAGTTTTAATTTCTACTCTTCTCCTGCACTCTATTCCCCATTTCCTTTATAGGAAACTATTTTAATGATTTATCCTTCCAAAAATTTATTTATCCTTACCTTTTTTTTTGTTTTTAAATTTATTTATCCATGCATACAAGAGCTGGGGTATGATGCAGGGGATGAGAGGATTCACCAGAGGCAGAGTGGGGAACAGAATAGGCAGACTGACTGAAGTACACTGCTGAGGGGAGCAGCAGGAGAGACAGGAGAGGTCTGCTGTGCCATGTGGGTTGCTCCCTGGCTGGGGATTGAACTCATGCTGCTGTAATTACTGATAGCTTCATAGTGTTGATGCTTAACCCCTTGGTCTACCAGGGAGGCCCCCTTACCTTGTTTTTTTTTTTTTTAAAAAAAACATATATACTGAGTAAGATAACTACATCATTGTATTTCTCACCTTTCCTTTTATAAAGGTAATATGCTGTATGTACTTTTCTCTAATTCATTTTTTTAACATAATAACCGAGAATCATTCTATAATAGTCTAAAGAATTTCATTCCTTCCCCTCCTTTCCTCCCCACTAAATAGTATTCCACTGTGAGGATGTACCACACATTACTCACCTAGTCCCTTAATGATGAAAATTTGGTATATTTTCACTTCTGTTAATATAAATAACATAGCAGTGAGAAGCCTCTCATGAATATATGTTTTCATTTTTTTTTTCAATTTTTTCCTTTTGGTTGATTTCCTAGAAGTGGGTTGCTTGGTTTATAGCTAAATTAGTGTAATTTTGTTATATACTGCGCAATTCACATCATCAAGATGGCAGTATTTTACATCCCTACTAGAAAATTGTGTTTTACAAAATAAAGTATGTTACCAACTTTTTTTTTTTTGCCATTCTGTTGGTGAAAAATGAATTATCTGCATTCTTATTTTGCATTTCTTTTAGAAGCAAGTCAAGTGAGATGCTTATCACTATTTTGTTTGTTTTCTAGTTTTTCTCTTAAATTCTTTTTTTTATATTTTATTTTTCAGAGTCAATACAGATTTGTATGTGAAGCTATTTTGAAAGTTTATGAAGAAGGATTTGTTAAACCCTTAACGACATCATCAAATAAATAAGAAAGCAAAAATTCTGGAATATGTGTTGGAAAACTGCTTTCCATTTTATTCACTGTGCCATAATACTGCTTGCAGGAAATGGCTTCTCAACAACAACAACAAAAAAAAATGAAGAACTCACAAAAACTGAAAACTTCAGCACTGTTGCACTTTATGTTTAAAAAAAATGTCACTCTCAAAAATCTATAACTCATGTGTTTGAAGACTATTTCATGCTTTGCTCCGAACAAATAGTGAATAACTGAGTATGTTCAGGGTAATTTATGAAATTCTGTGGTGGTGCCATGCAGTCCCCTTCTGGTAGAATTGCCACAAACAAGGCTCAGAATTCTCATCATCTCTGTTACACACCTATATCTTGAAAGCAAAAAGAAGTAAACATCAGGAGTCAGCTCTGGTGTTTTCCAGTGATTCATGTACTTACTATGCTGATTACCAGATTTTATTTTTTAAATTTTAGCAATATCATTCTCAGTATTAGCCAATACACTGCCTATGGATGCAGCACATCTTTCCCTAAACTCCCCCTGTAGAGACCTGCTGTTCATAAGAAGAAAGGTGGAATTTGCTTTTCCCAGGAAATGCTGCAGATTGTCCATTTACCAGCATCTTATAGAAAGTATAAATATGAATCTACAAATTTTCTTGGATTTAATAATGTAACTTATATTTATCATAAGGTTGGCTTATTCCAAATCATGTGATTTCACATACTTGATGTAAAGGAATGCATGCATTGTGTCTTAACCCCTTAAGTGCCTTGAGACGTCCCTGTATGTCTAATGAAAAGGCACTCATTTTGACCCCACTAGGAGGTATGTCTGTATATTATACATTTACATTTTTATGCATTTGAATCAGTTCACTTTTTTAAAAATAACTTCTATTAAGTTAGGCAGTCAAAGAAGGGTTTGGGAAAATTTTTACCAACCCCTGCATTTTGCCATAAGTAGCAGAGACAGTTTGTGTTCTACTGAATGAGCAGTCTGCTGCTATGAAATGGTTCAGTATCTGCACATTGTTTTCCTGAGGTACAAGGGTTACAGTTGAGAAGCTCAAGTTAAGTTGCATTATTCTTCTAATTTTCATGTTATTCCTAATTTAGAAATGGCATCTAATAATGCCCATTAAAGCAAAACATTGATACTTTAAAGGTAGAGCAGTTACCTATGGTTTATTTCTACCACTAATTAGTACTCTTGAGCTTTCATTTTAGTTCAATTAGGCTTTGTTCATACTGGTTTCTTGCTTGGGATCCTTCAAATAAGGAATGAAACATTACTGACTTATTTTCAAAAGTAATCCTCAACAACTTAAATGAGGGTTTTCTTGACATTTTTATGTACAATTAAATTACTCCAGTTTATATGAACTTATTAAGTTATAAGCATGTTAATATGGAGAGTTTGAATTGTCCAGCCTGATGAGGAGGTGATTCCCTTTAAGGATGTGTGTTTTCCTCTTCAGGTTTATTTTTTTTTTAAATTTTTAAGTCTACATAATGATAGAACTTTAAAATTGCCCAGTTTCAGTACAAGTGGAAATTTGCTCATCTATTAAAATGTTATATCACACAATTATTTTATATGGATTATGGTTAAAATAGATTCATTTACTAGTGGTTTATGAATATTTCTGTACAGTCTTGATAAAATTTAGAATTGAATAGTAGATATTTTGGAATGTCATTTAATATGATGGGTAAAATGTACATTTTAAAATCTTAAGTATAATCTAAATGATATTATTTCAAATATTCAAAATTCATAATAATAAATTTTAGGAAGTTAAGTTCCTAAACACTATAGCAAAGATACCAAATAAATTATTGTATTAAAATATTTTTATTTTAAGTTTTTTTTAAAAGAGAAAAGTAAACAACCTTTATGTCAAAGAGAAGTTCTCTTAATCTATTTTGGCATTTCACAGTCAAGACAGTATAAGATAATAAATAAGTATAATTTTATTTGAACATTCCATTTTCTACTAACATAAATACAATTTAGGCTGCTATATGACATCATGATAAGTTGAAAAGTGAAAAAGTGAAACCACTTTGGGGGTCTGTATAATAACTGTCTTGGCAGTTATTTTTCACCCAAATGAAAAAAGAAAATTTGTTCCAACTGTATGTACCGAATGTGGACAAATCCACAAACTGGGTAAAAAAGTTACAGTTGTTTAGAGATAAGCATACAAATGAGATGGTTCTTTAATTTCATTTAGGTATTTGTTTACACTTCTGAGATTAACTCTAGTAATTTGTTGGCAATGAGCACTGCTGCCTTTTTAAATCATTAATGCCAGTCTTTAAATAATATATTAGATGTTAAGAATTAAATTTGAATTTATCATGTATGAATTTTTCATCTGGGAGCTACCCTGTCAGTATTTTTATGTACAGAAAAGATCCTTTTCAAAAAGGCATATTTATTAGCATCTCACATTTAAAATAAACTATCCTTAACCACTTCTTGAAATGAATATGCTAATTATGCTTCCCATTTCACTCAACAGATAAAACTATCCATTACACCTGAGAATTTTTTAACCTGCTTATCAATATAATTAGGGTTCTAGAAATAATTCTAGCTTTAATACACCAGATAGCTCAAAGATTCCAGTCATATCAATGTAATAGTGTGATTTAAAAAATGCCAAATTTCTGGTCTTTAAACTATTCTTCTCCAGCTACCTTCCCCCTTGCCCCCCAACACTCAAGAAATCAATGCTGACTTATTCTGACAAGTGGAAATAGATATTGGTAAATCAATGGAACTTTTTTTAAATGCTAAGAAATGTGAAAATCCTTCCTCTCTGATTTAGGATGGTTTTATCATACTCATTTCAAATACTTTATTGAGCATCTGATTTGTGTCAGCACTTTGTATATAGGATGAAAAGTGTTTTGGAATAGACTTTACATTTGCAAGAAAAATTGGTAGTATTTGTTTGACCAGTGTGTCCATTCAAAATAGAAGCAAACAAACATAGAATTTCCTTTGTATGGCCTGCTGTTACATGTGGAAGGGTGGAGGGGAAGGGTTGGTCATTTTGATTAAAGAAAAAAATTATAGATGAAAACTGACTGCAAAAGATCTGTTAAGCCATTAAGACGGTTGCTTGAAGGTTTCAAGTACTAACATAAATACACTGAGATACTTTTGTGAGTTTATTATATGTGTGTTACATAAAGACTAATGTTAACAAACTTGGGTAAAGGATTATTTTAATTATAGAATTGTTTATAATCTGTTCTCAGATCTGATCGGGTCTAATCAGGTATTTAAGCAAAAGTTAGCTAGCAGTACTATAACTTGAGAGCTGAAAGCAACTTCAAAGATCTTACTCCATTTCACTTTCTATTAATATAGGCAATGTGTATGAATATCATAAATTCTTGTGAATTTTAGTCCGTTTCAGCGCAAGAATTATACTCAGGCAGTGTTTTTACTTAATAATTATGAGTACCTTAGATGTTACTTAATTTAGGAAATAAGTAGCTTTTTAAAAGTGATCCTAATTAGGACCTTTGACTCCGTTTGCTAACCATGCTTCCCTAATAGGATATAAGCTTTTGTAAAGTATTTATGCTGATATACATGCAGTTTGAAAACATTCTGAAATGCAAATTAGAAGACTAATTTTTAAAAGCACTTAAAACATAGAACTAAGATTTAGAGTATATGTCCACTTATAATCAAAATATTTATGTTCTTGTGAACATGTAGTATAATTAAAGCATTACTTGTTTTATAATACTATCAGAAAGGGAAAAGGAAACAACAATTTTTAATAATGTCCTATTTAATGTCTGTGTTTGAATATTTAAGATGTTCTGATGGTAAGGTTGCCAAAGTAGTTTTGAATTCATAAAAATTATTTATACCACAATAATGTGGAATATTGTTTACATCTCTTATTTTGTAGTAATTATATTGTAGTTCAGGTAAATGTGCATTTAAGTCACTTAGAGTAAATACGTTATGGTAAATATTTGTTGGAATAAATGTCTCTTAATATTATGACAAGACAAAGATAAATTATGCCAGAGCTTGCTTTTATATAAGCTACCACATCAACAAAGTTAACTACATTATATTAACATTGCTTACTTCCTACATTTATTTCAACTGTCCAACCACAATTACTGGAATTATTTTGTGTGTGTGGTGTTTCCTCCAAGTAAAATAGTTATGTTATTAAAACCCACTGGATTATTTTTTGTCAAATATCAGAATTACTGATCTGTTGGCAAATATTTGTTAGTGTTTCAGTGTGATGATCACAATACAAATTGTAGCAAGTGTTTTATGAAATTCTTTGAGAATTGTATAGTTGCAAAGGAATTTACATAATATATGTTTTTGAGGGCTAACTGATACTAGGTAATTTCAGCAATTGTATAAAGAGCCCATGAAATTAATCCTTAAATTGTTGGGTTAAAATTGTTTTATAGTGTCTGCAACACGATTTTTTATTACATACAGACTTCATTCCTTCTTAATAGTGATTATTACCATAAGTCTTTTGATGTCAAAAACAAGCCCTATTTATCAGAAATTGACCTTTTATTTTTATAATCTTGAAGTTGTAGGTAGATCTTAGTTATTTCTGTTTCCATATCTAAATTTGCTGCTATTTATTTGTTTTTTTCTATTACAGTTTACTGTTAATTTCTGAAGTTTTGTAGTCATTTTTATTTTAATAATCCAAGCTAAATGGACACTCAGAAAAAGTATCTACTGGGGTGCAGTCTTTCAGCATTGACTTGCTATAGTTCAGCGCATAAATCAATTTCTTTTTTCAATTTATAGAGTGAATGATACTAGCAATATTGCAAGTTTAAAGACTACCAATTTAGATGGGAGTTCTGATGTTTAATTTACTGAAACCTTTTAAATTTTTCAATGCAAGGATAAAGATGATTGAAAACCTTGTTGTGCTCATAAAAATTTCAGTTCAACACTGTAGAATTTTCCTGTCTATTGTGCAAATGGTATAGAAAATATTTTTCTATTGTCTAAAGAATGAGACTGTTAACTTCTTTTACTTCATTGTTTAAAAAAGATAAAATATTTGTATGTCTTTCATGCTGTAAAGAAAATGAATGTATCTTCAAATGTTATTAGAAAATTATGACTTGATTTTAAAGATACTCTTTAAAAAAGTCAGTGAAGAATTGAAAAGAAGGGGAAAGAAATCGAAAAGGGGAAAAGAGTGTGTTCTCCACTTCATTATAAAAAATGTAGTTATAGAAGAAAAATGAATTTTTATTATAAACAAGAGTAATCATTGAAGCATATTTTAAATATGCATTTTTTCATTTTTTAAATTGAAAATTGCAAGGAAAATTGTGCATACCATTTTTAATTGTAAAGTAGTTGAATTCTTTTGGAGTATGGAAAGTTGTTTGGGTATGAGGGTAAATGTTCTGCTGTATGTGTTTACCATGAAGGAAAGTTCTCAGGCTTTGTCACTGGCAGCCACAAATGAGAACATTGTGAGAGTGTGACTTTGATGAAGCCAGAAAGCTGCCTATGGTTAACAACAGTAAATATGTGCAGAGGGTGCTGACAGATCAATGATTTTGCCTTTTTATTCTCAGTATCTTGAATAGATAAGACCACTAAGCCCAATTCTGATTTATACCAGTGGTGTCTTAAATCCTTAAGGATTTGTTCATTCAACTGAACAAAAAAACAAAACCCTATATTTAAGCCAACTTCTCTAGGCATGATTAACTTGTTCAACAGTTTCCTTCAAATGTAGTATTTATCACTCATCAAACTTACTCTGTGGGGCCTTCATCATTTTGACTCCTGCTTCCATTCCTCCAACTTTTAAAAAAATCATTTCCCTTTACAGTAGAGTCAGTAAAATCTTTATCAAGTAAATACCTTAAACAACTATAAGATGCTATCTCCTTTCACTAACTTTTGTTCCAGTTGTGGAAGGATCAGTGTCGGGCTCCCTCATGTCCAGGTGTTTCCAAAATTTAGCAGGTATTACTTGTGATAACCTTAACTAAAAAAATGCCACATTGCTAAATGAAATTATCGTAAGACCATCATGGAGACAGCCTGCTTACAATGATAGACCCCAAATAGGTGCTGATTTATGGTTTCCTCAAGTCCACTATGGTTACTATTATTGAACCCATATTACCTTTTATGAAAAGAAGCCTTTTTGTTTCTACTCTTGAATCACAGTGTTCTAGTAATTTGCCTTCCTGGACAAGAAAATTTCAGCCCAATTCTGGGTTTCTGTGGCATCTGTCTTTTTCCATCCTGCAGGGAGTTAAAATTATTCATTCTTTGTTGTAATCTGTAGTGTAGGTCAAAAATTTCAATGCTAAAATTCTTGAATTTCTAATAGTAGCACTTTATTTCATACTACTGAGTTGATACATAAAAATCTCTCCTAGGAGTTTTATAAATAGGGGGCAAAATTAATGGATTAGTATGTAGAGCCCTTTGGATTAGACCCAAGTTTAAATGCTTTAGTGATCATCTTTTGATCCTTTGATATTTTAAAAATTACTTATGTGACTTTTAGCTTTGCTTTTTTTTTTGTAATTTAGTACAATAAAAGCTACACAAATGACTGTCTTGCTGGACTGAGTTATCTCAGCTAGCTCCTACAATGTTTGGTTTACTATAAACATTTCTGCTTTGTAGTTTTGTACATTAAGAGAATATGTGGAAATCCATTTGTTTTGAGTTTGCACGTAGGGGTTAAATCAATGCACCACAAGTAATTTGAAGGGGAAATTCCTGACACTATATCCATGTCGAAGAGCAGAATTTATAAAACTAAAACCAGTTTACGTTAAACTTTTCATTTTCTATCACTAGAATGTGCTTAAAAAAATAAAAACAGTCCAATATAGTGTTTCTGCAGCACCAAGACATTACAGTTACAATCCATGTTAAAATCTTTTCAAATAAGAAAAGCTAGTCTGCATTTTCTAAAATATAGACCTAATTTTAGGACAGATAGTTTACTATGTATTCATCAATGATTATTTTATAGTTGTTTAAAAGTAATTATTTCTAGATAGTTTTAATTGGGATTTTACTTTCTCGTAACAGGTGCTATATCTAAATATGAAAGGTCAAAGTCACTTCTTTACAAACTTGTTAATTTCCTAATTAAAATATAGTTTTACAGTTCTGCTGCCATTTCAGGTTTGATTGTATACTTACAGAATTAGCCCCCTAATGTTTTAAACTAACTCTCCCCATTTCACAAAACTCTTTCCATATGGTTTGTTCCCACAATTAAGGAGGCAAAGCAGCATAGAGTTCATTTAAAATGTATAGGCTTGAATTTGGTCAACACTGGATAATTTGAAAGCATCACTATGCATTTGTCACTGCAACTTACTGTATGCTTGAAAGTCCTTGTGTGTTTGTCTTAACTACAGTGAAAAATTAGAATTACTATAATTCATGTACAAAACATCTACAAATACTAACAGCAAACAATGAAATGCTGATTTGCATTAAAACTGTGTTAGTCTAAGGAATTTATGTCGTGAAATGTTTTGTTGGCCATATTTCATTTTGATTGAGAAATAGTTGTTCAGGTACAAACGTGAAAAAAAACTAGCTGTGACTTACTTGTTCAATTGCAAAATAAAGATGAGCTTTAGTAATTTAAAGCATAGGAGTTTTGAGGATTATTTTATGAAAGTTTAAGTTTGGGCTTTTCATACAATGGTTATATTCATTCATGGGTGATCAGAAGGGACTAGGAAAATGGTTCATGGGATTTTTATTTCGAGAAGTACTATTCACATGATAAATGTACGGCACGGGGTTGGTGAGGGTAACAAAGGAACTGGAAGGGATTTAGAAGATAAAGAATGTCTGATGAGATGCTCCTCCTCCACTGTGGTCTCTACTGCATTCTTATTACCCCAGCACCAGCTCCACCACGTCTGTTCTTAATCCTAATGTAAGACCTTGCCAATCAAAATAAAGGTACTTTCTGTATGTGAAGTCAGCTTGTGCCATGTCTTCCCCAGTGCAGTCAGGCATCCCATTTTTCATCTGAAAGAAAATAATTTTCAAGAAAATATTAACATTTAGCTATTTTTACATTTAAATATAAGCAAGAAAATACATATTACATTCCTCTTCATGTATATGATAATAAAAACTGAGACAATGTAACATTGAAGAGGTGTGAAGCCTTTTTCCCATGCCCCACCCCAAAGAACAGCTCCCTCAAACCTATGGCAACCTCTGTTAAATTTCTTGTATTTTCTTGTGGTGGGTGTGGTGGTGGGGTGGGGGTTAAAGAGGGAGGGGAGTGTATGTATACACAAGTGTATACAAAAGTGTGTACATGCACATTTTGTTTATGCCAAGGGGGGTTTACAATGTATTTTGCAATTTGGTTTTTCATCTTGGAAATAATTCCATGTCAGTATATTCATATATCTCATTCTTTTCAACAACTGCCTAGTACTCCATCATGGGAATACCCTAATTTATGTCTTGATCAAAACTTATTTCCAGTTTGTACTGTATAAAGAATGCTGCAATGAACATCCCTACACATATATGTTCATTTATCACTGCAGGTATGATATAAATTTCTACCAATAGAATTGCTAGGTCCTAAGTCGTCTATATTAACATTATCTAATGTACCTGAAGAAGATACCAGTTTATGCTTCCACCAAAGCATATGGGAATGTTTCCCCATATTTTTATTAAAAATGATTGCAATGTACTAGCTCATAATAAGTGAAGTGTCTTATTTTGATATGTATTTCTTTTGTAAAGAGGTTAAGTAGATTTTCATATATTTATCAATTCCTTATTTTTTTCTCTAAATTCCATATTGATATCCCTTGCTTATTTGTTTTATTCATATGAGATTTTAGAAATTAAAGAAATTAGTCATTTGGCAGTCATATGTTGTATGTTGCAAAAATTTTTGCTTAGAGTGTTGTCTTTGACTTTGATGAATAGGGAATATATATACACATTTTGTTGATGCCAAAGGGAGTGTACAATATATTTTGCATCTTATTTTTTCATCTTGGAAATACTGCCATGTCAGCATATTCAAGTCTACCTCATTATTTTTAATCACTGCTTAGTACTTGTACTCCAAAATATAGATAAAATATAATGTCTTGACATTTTTAATACTTGTACAAGCAGTTGCATAGTCTTTTTTTTTTTTTTTTTAAAGATTTTTTATGCTACAAGAACCAGAGCACAGGCCAGAGGTGTGGAGGGTGAGAGGATCCACCAGAGACACAGCGGGGAACAGAACAGGCGGACTGACTGAAATACACGGCTGAGGGGAGCAGCGGGCAAGTCAGAAGAGGTCTGTTGTGCCATGTGGGTAGCTCCCTGGCCGTGGATCGAACTAGTGCTGCAGTGGCTGCGGATAGCTTCATAGGTTGTGTCTTAATCCCTTGTGCCACCAGGGAGGCCCTGCATAGTCTTCTTAATGACTTCTGAATTTGGGGTATCCCTGCAAAAGCTTTTTCTAATTTCCATGACATTCCATGTATGACTGAAGCTTTCTTAAAAATAATCCACTCAGGGGCCTCCCTGGTGGCGCAGCGGTTGAGCGCTGGGTTGCAAAGCTGCCCGCAGCCTCTGCAACGCCGGTTCGATCCCCCGCTGCTCCCCGGCCACCGGAGGAGGGTCCCACATGGCACGCAGACCTCTCCTGCCGCCCGCTGCTCCCCTCAGCAGTGTACTTCGGTCCTTCTGCCTGCTCTACTCCCCGCTCTGGCTCTGGTGAATTCTCTCACCCTCTGTACCCAGTGCATGTATAAACAAAACAAATAAAATAAAAAAAAAAAATGCCTCTTAAAAAAAAAATCCAACAACAATCCACTCACAGTAGACTTTCTACTCAGTAAGCTTTCTGCTCTTAATTTTTCTCTTGGTACCACTGACAGCCCTCAATTTGAGTTGTAAATTTACTAAAATCAGTTGTGTTTATTTGGTAAAGCTCTGTATGCAAATTTATCTTTCATTGGACAGGATCCTTTGATGCCCTACTGCCCCAGTCATTTTATATCTACTACCCCTTGGCAGTACTAGTTCTCTGACTATTTCAACAGGTGCAAAGGTGTCAGTATGAATTCTATCCGTACTACAACCCATCAGAAATAAAAAATGAAGAGACAAAATAACATACCACAAAATGCTAGAAAAGGAAAAAAAAAAAAAAAACTGAGAGGAGTTTCAATCTTGCAGAACTCTGGAATATGCTTGAAGAGAAGTTCAAGGTAATCATTATAATAATGCTTATGGAACTAAAAAAACACACACAAAACAACCCTACAAAAAACAGAAGCTCAGAATAACACTAAGAGAATGGGGGCCTCCCGGATGGTGCAGGGGTTAGGGTCTCAGCGCTATCAAATTACAGTCTGTCACTGCAGCACTAGTTCAATTCCCAGCCAGGGAGCTAACCAACATGGCGCAGCGGTCCTCTTCTGTCTCACCTGCTGCTCCCCTCAGCAGTGTATTTCAGTAAATCCACCTGTTCTGCTCCCTGCTCTGTCGCTAGTAAATTCTCTCACCCTCTGCACCTCTGGCCTACACCCCAGTACTTGTATGCATAAATAAATAAATCTTAAAAAAAAAAAAAAGACTAAGAAAATATGAGGCAGTTCCAACTAAAAGTAAGGGAACTGAGGAATACTATAACTACATTAAAAAATGCACCTGAGGGCCTCAATAGCAGACAATGCCAGCTATGGAGAGAATGAGCTTGTACAATGGAGAAAATCAGAAGTATAATGTCAACGAACACAGAATAACATAGAGGAAAGTAAAATTGTGCAAGAACCCTTGGGACAACCTGAGAGAAGTAATATGTATTGCGGGAATTCCAGAAAGACAAAGGCATTGAAAACTTATGTAGAGAAATAATCGCTGAGAATCATCTCAACTTGAAAGATGAACTGGACACTGATCCAAGAGGCCCAAAGAGTTCCAAATAAAATAATAGTGTACACACACTAAGACCTACCACTGCATACCATTTTTTTGTAAATGCACATGGAATATTTTCAAGACTAGACCATATATTGGGACATAAGTCACTTGTCAATAAAACCAAAATCAAAACTTAGACAGTACTCTCTCTGACTATAATGCCATAAAATTAAAAATCAACTATGAGGGGGGAAAAAAAAAACAGGAGAAATTATGACTACCTGGAGACTAAAGAATTCGCTCCTTAATAGCTACTGGATGAAAGAGGAACTTTTTTAAAAATTAAAAATTATCGTGGAGCTAATGGAAATGAAGATACAAGCCACTGGGGTCTATGGGATGCAGCAAAATATGGTCTTAAGAGGGAAGAAAATTGTAACATAGGCCCAAATTAAGAAGCAAGAAAAACCCCAACCAACCAACCTAATGCTACACATACAGTGACTTGGAAAAGAGGAACAAACAAGAACTAAGTTAATAAAGGAAGGAAACAGTAAAAAATAAGAACAGAAATAAAAGAGATCAAAAAGACTGTGAAAGATTAATAAAACCACAAGTTGGTTCTTTAAGAAGATAAACAAAATATAGAGAAAGCTTTAGTTAGGCTAACAAAGAGAACAATTATAAACAAAATCACAAATGAGGAGAGAAATTACCATAGATAGCATACATACAAAAAAGTCATAAAAAATTACTATGATCAACTATATGCCAATAAATTTGATTACCTTGAAGAAATGGGTGAATTTCTAAATCACTATAGTCTACCAAGATTTACCTAGGAAGAAACAGATTAATTGAACAATTCAAGGGCCTCCCTGGTGGCTAAAGGGGTTAAGCACTGCACTATGAAGCAATCCGCAGCCTCTGTAGCACGAGTTTGATCCCCAGACGGCCAGGGAGCAACCCACATGGCGCAGCAGACCTCTCCTGTCACACCCGCTGCTCCACTCAGCAGTGTATTTCGTCTGTCTGTTCTGTTCCCCATTCTGGCTCTGGTGAATTCTCTCACCATCCTGCGCTTCTGACTGAACCCCGGTTCTTGTATAAATAAAAAAATAAATCTTTAAAAAAAAAATCTTAAAAAAAAGATTAATTGAACAATTCAGTCACAATCACTGATAGTCAAACAATAAAAAAAAATCTTCCCCTAGAATATAAAAATACAATTTATTATTTAATGAAAAAAAAATTAAAAAAAAAAAAAAAAAAAAAAGATGAAGCAGATGTGTCAGCCTTAGTATTAATGGGGATCTTCACAGCAATCTGACATGGGCGTGACTCTTTCAGTCCAGGCTGTGAATGAACATTCAGAGCCTTTGGTGAAAACACCCTCGGATCTCACCGGTGGGTTGAAAAAGCCTCAAGTGTCCCTAGGTCCTCGCTCCTGGGCTGAGGAGCAGGTGCCAGTGGGCCACCACCCTTACCTGAGGGCCTGGCCTCTATGACGTAGCCCGTGGTAGGTGCCCGGCCGGCGTTGCCCTCTGTCCACTGCAGGGTCAGTTCAGAGGCAGATTTGGTGACCAGGACATCTCTAGGGGAGCCTGGAGAACCTGGAGAAAAAAAAAAAAAAAAATCTTCCCCTAAACAAAAGTCTAGGACCAGATGGCTTTACAAAAGAGTTTTATCAAGCCTTTAAAGAAGCACTAATGCTGATCTTGCTCAAATTATTTAAAAAAAAATACAGATGGAGGGAATGCTCAACTTAATATATTTTATGATTCCAGTACTACCCTAATACCAAAACCAAATAAAGGTAGCTCAAGAAAATAAAATCATAGACCAATATCCCTGATGAACACTGACTGTAACATCTTCAACAAAATACTGTTAAGTCAGATTCAACAGTGTATCGTGAGAATTATATACCATGATACAGTGAGATTTATCCCAGGGATGCAAGAATGGTTTAATATATGTAGATCAATGTAATACATCACATCAATAAAAGTAAATATAAATACCATAATATCAATAAATGCAAAGAAAGCTTTTGATAAGATTCAGCCCCCATTTGTAATAAAAACTCTCAGGAAGATGGGAATAGAAGGAATCTATTTCACTATAATAAAGGCCATATATCACAAACCAACAATCAATATAATATTATGAAAACGAGAAATCTTTCCCCTTACAATCAGGAGCAAGATGAAGATGCTCATTGTTACGACTTCTGGTTAACTTAGTATTAGAGATTTTGGCCAGAGTTGCTACATAAAAACAAAATAAAGGGAATCCAAGTGGGAAAAGAAGTGAAACTATCACTATTTATAGACAATATAATATTCTATATAGAAAATTCTAAAGACACCACCAAAAAATTACTAGAAGCAATAGAGAAACAGAGCAAAGTGACAAATTCAGCATAAAAAATCTGTAGCTTTTTTATACATGATTAACAAGAAACAAAAGAAATTAAGACAATAACTCCATTTATAATTGCTTCAAAAAGAATTAAATACCTCAGAATTAATCTATTGAGGTCAAGGACCTAGAGGAGAACTACAAGGTTTTATTAAAGGACTCACACAGTGACATGAGGAGAAGGAAGGTTATCCCACACTTAGGGATTGGGAGAATCAATGCAATCAAATTTACTGTCCTGCCTAAAATGACATATCAGTCTAACACAATAGCCATCAAAGCACCAGCAATGTTTTTCAAAGAAACTGAACAAAAATTCATCAAATTTTACATGGAGTCACTAAGTAATCCTGAGAAAAAAAGGAGATAAATGGTAGTATAATGTTACCTAACTCCGAACTTTAGTATGAAGCAGCAGTATTAAAAACAACATGGTGGGCCTCCCCGGTGGCGCAGCGGTTGAGCGCTGGGTTGCGAAGCTGCACGCAGCCTCTGCAGCGCTGGTTCGATCCCCGGCTGCTCCCCAGCCACCAGAGGACGGTCCCACATGGCACAAGGACCTCTCCTGCCGCCCGCTGCTCCCCTCAGCAGTGTGCTTCGGTCCTTCTGCCTGCTCTGCTCCCCGCTCTGGCTCTGGTGAATTCTCTCACCCTCCCGCGCTTCTGACTGTACCCAGTGCATGTATAAACAAAACAAACAAACAAACCAACAAATAAATAAATAAAACATGCCTCTAAAAAAACAACAACAACAACAACAACATGGTATTGGCTGAAAATAGTTACATAAGTCAATGGAATAAAATTTGAAGTTCAAAAATAAATTCATGTAGATATCGGTACCTAACCCATGATAAAGCAGCTATAACCATACAGCAGGGAAAGGACAATCTCTTTTATAAACGGTGCTGAGAAAATTGGAAAGCCACACATAAAAGAATGAAGTTGGGTTGCTCTTTAACTTCACTGAAAAAATAAACTGCAAGTTGATTAAATATTTAGATATAAGACCTACAATAAATAAAATATATAGAAGAAAATATTGGCAATAAATTTCATGATGATTGTGCTTGCTTTGGCAGCACATATATTAAAATAAATTTCATGACTATCAGTGATAAAGATGTTTTTAGAGACTCCACCCCTATTGGCATTATCAATGCCAATCAACTCAATGCCCTATTGGCATTATGTGAAGATCAAAAGCTTTTACACAGCAAAAGAAAACAGAAAAAACTGAAAAGATATTCTATTGAATGCGAGAAAATATTCACATTAACATGTAACTGATAAGGGATTAATATCCAAGATATATTAAAAACACACACTTGAACAATTAAAAAACCCAGTTAAATAATGGGCAGCAGGTATGAACAGACAATTCACTGAAGAGGATAAACAGAAGGCCAACAGAAATATGAGAAAATGTTGATCATCACTTCCAATAAGAGATGCAGATTAAAAGCACAATGCGATACCATTTCACACCCGTAGGAATAGAACATATTAAAAAGAACTCTGAAAACAAGTGCTGGAGAGGATGCAGACAAAGAGGAAGCTCATTAATACAGTTGGTGAGAATGTAAACAGATTCAAACATGATGGAAAGGACTTTAGTTTCATCTTAAGATACCAAAAATGGAAATACTGTATGACCCAACAATCCCACTCCAGGGTATCTATTTAAATATAAAGCCATCAATGCAAAAAAAAAAAAAAAAAAAAAAAACCTATTCATAGCAGCATTATTTGTAATAGGTGGGAGGCTTCTATTGCCTAAATGTCCACTAGTAGACAAATGGCTCAAGATGTGGGTATCCACACTTGGAATGCAATTCAGCCATAAGATAATACGTAGCCATTTTCAGCAAAATGGAGAGTTTGAGGGCCTCCCGGTGGCGGCGCAGCGGGATGAGCGCAGCGCTGTGAGGCTGTCCGCAGCCTCTGCTGCGCCGGTTCGATCCCCGGCCGACCAGGGAGATACCCCCATGGCGCGCAGACCTCTCCTGCCGCCCGCTGCTCCCCTGAGCAGTGTCTTCAGTCCGTCTGCCTGCTCTGCTCCCCGCTCTGGCTCTGGTGAATCCTCTCACTCCCCGCGCCTCTGGCCTGCACCTCAGTTCTTGTGTAAATAAACATAAATAAATCATTTTTTTAAAAAGGGGGGCTTGAGAGCATTACGTTCAGTCAAGCAGGCCCAAACGGCGACCCCGCACACCGGGCCCGTACACAGGCCGGCGGCGTGACCGCGTGAGGCGCTCACAAAACTAACGGGCGCGAATTAACACCCGGGGCGGAGGGTGAGAGGGTGAGAGGGCGGGAGGGGGCGGGGGGGGGGGGGGTAGAGGGACGTGGGCGGGAGAAGAAACGGCCGGGGCCTGTGTCGGACGAGTTGCTCCCCGGCGACGGAGCGCGCCTCCCTCCCCGCCTCCCTCCCCGCCTCCCCCGAGGCCAGCCCGGCTGCCGCACACACGCCCCGGCCGTCGCGCTCGCCGCCCCGTCCTCCCGCGGAGTCTCCTCGCGACGCTCACCGCGCGAGGGACGGGCTTGGAGCTTTCCTCCCCGCGAGAACGCGGTTCCCTCGACGCCGGCGGTGAACGCTCGCAGAACGCGCTAAAGCCCGGCGCGCACGGATGAACGACCCGGGCGGCCCCGGCGCCGAGCCCCGCGGCGGGTCGTCCGCGGGCGCGCGCTCCTGGGCGGCCGGTCCGCGAGCCGGGCCCGGCCGCGCCCCCTTAAAGCCGCAGCGGACGCCCGGCCGCTGAGCTCGGGCTCCGGGTCGGGCCCGCCCGGCATGGCCGATTTAACCCTCGTCTCGCCTAGCCGCGTGATTTCCGGGGCGGTGCCATCGCCTGTTTAAGGGCGGAGGCCCCGCCTTCGGGAGGCGGGGCTTCGGGGGCTTCAAGGGGCGGGCGGCGGACTGCGAGGGTCCTGGGCGACTGGCGCGGTGGGCGTGCGCCGCCGTCGCCATTTCCTGACGTCGCTGGAGTCGCGACCCCTCCTCAGCCCGGCGCTCGCGCAGCCTCCCACGCTCCGTCGTCGCCGTCCCGCGCAGGTAAGAGCGGCCCTGAGGCCCCGCGCCGGGGGTCCCCGCTCCCCGCGTCCTGTCCTGCTCCCGGGACCCTGCAGCCTCGCCCCGGCGCCCGCTCTTGCGGCGGCCCCGCCTAGGGACCCTCCCGCCGCCCGGCCCCTCCCGGGCCGCCGAGTGTCGGACCCGCCGGGAGGGGCGGGGAGGGGAGGGGCGGAGGCGGCCAATGGGCCGGGCGCTGCAGTTTCAGCCGATACCGAGCGGCGGGCCGCGGGCGAAACCGGGAACGTGTGCGGGACCGAGTGCAGCCCCGGCCCTGCGCTCCCGAGCCCGGCCACTGCGCGGGAGGCGGGGGATTCGCCGTCCCGCCGGCAGGTGGACGTGGCAGGTCGAGGGAGAAAACACACCTAGTGTGGGTCCCGTCTTGTCACGAGAAACCCTGGGACTTTTCGGGCTGATTTGCGTTTGAGAAACGACTCGAGCCGCGGGATCTTCTGGAAGGCAGGTGTGTCCCCGGGGAGCAGGGCCCGGGCCCTCCCCGCTCCCACCCGTGTTTTGGGGCGTGTTAATGATGGGTTCTTTGCCGAGTAAACAGTGTCAGTCTCGTTAATTTACCTAAGAGCAAGGAGAACTAAGTCTTTTAAGCCGTTTGGCAATGTTTTAAGAATTGGATGAAAATCTGCCCATAATTCGATTTCTAACATAATGGACATGTTCCCGAGCCCTCCCTAACCTAGTGAGTGACTTGCATGTATGTGTGCAGGCTTTTCTTTTTATAGGTAAACTTAGTTAGAAAACGGGTGTAACTTCAATTGAATTATTCTCTTACCCATCGTATTCTGTATTGGGGTTATAGGGTTAAAGACACTAATATCTTTATTACATTTGCGGTGTATTGGTCTATTGAGTCATTAAAAAAGCAGTTGCTTGCCAGAGATTGTTGCCACCTGTTATGTATGAGAGTATGCACATTTCATGACAAACTTTGGAGTTTTAGATCTATATATTTTAAAAGCTTCAATTAACTTAAGCAGTATTTGGTTTACTTGAATTTGCATTTGTGTGATCCTAAAGAGAACTTCTGAAAAATTTGAAATCAGATTAAAAACTTGTTTTTAAATAAGAAACATAAACCTACCATCGCAAATCCCACCTCATCATTTTCATCTCAGATGAGTTCTTTATTGTGCTTAATATGCAGATTGTGCTATCGAGGTTATAATGGTGAGCAAGTCAGACTAAGTACCTGTCCTAAGTCTTAAGTATGGTTAAAAGAAAGACAGTAATAAACCATGAGTATTTAATTACAGTTTCCTTAAATGTAGTAAGTAAAATTCTAATGGTAGTAGGAGTGGTATTATTTTAAATCCAGGAGTCCTGGAATGTTTTTCTGAGGAAAAGACATTTCAACCAGAAATCTGAAGTAAGTTAGTTAGCCATGTCAAGTGGATGAGGGTTGGAGAGAGGTGAAGTGGAAAAAAAAAAAAAAAACATTCGAGACAGATGGAACAAGCAATGATGCAGAAAAAAAAAAAAGCCTTTTGGGCTGAGCAGAGCTAGCAGGAGTAGGCTGCTTCAAGAGTCAGGCAGGTAGGAGGAGTTGGATTAGGGAGCAAGGTCATGACAAAGTTTTAAACAGGGATCAGATGTGTGGTTGCTGAAACTTCACTGCTGCGGCATGAAAAAGCAGAAGTGGGAGTTGGAAGTGGAAAGAGTGAATGTGGGAAAACTTTTAACAATAAATTTTGTAAAACTCTCAAGACAGGTCATACATTCTTGGAAGATTTAAGGTCCTCCTTATGACCCTCTGCAGAGATAACCACACTGAGCAGTTTGCATGTTCTTTAGTCTTTGCTTGTAAACATGTATATAAAAGGTGTATGTCCTGTGTATATGTCCCACCTTAGCGTGGAATTTTCATTTTTCTCTCATTTCATTTTTCACTTATAAGTCTTGTTTGCCAGTGTGTAGGTCAGCAGTACTTTAAAAAGCAGCAGTACTGTATGCCATTCAACTACTTGACAGAAATATTTAAACTTAATTATACCCTGAAAATACTTGTTTCTATGACTTGGACCACATGTGAGACTTATTTCTATAGGACATCTTACCAGAAATAGAATTGCAGGGGGAAAGGTATACATGTCAACATTTTTGATCCTGTGTTCAAATTCTCCTCCAGACAGGACAGACTGTTAGTCCCATGGCCTTTTCAACACCGGCTTTGTTGAATGACTTCATTTTGTTTTTATATTTTTTTAATGATAAATACAATTTTATTTGTTAATTTGGATCTCCTTGGTAACTGTTGAGGTCAGAAATCTTTGTTATCAATTTTCCTTGAGTATCAACTTTTAGAACTTGTTTCTTCATATCCGGCCCATTTTTTTCTGTTGTGTTTATCTTAACAATTTGTAATAATTCTCTATTAAATTGTATACTAGTCCTTAAGGTAAATTTCTTTGCTGAATAATTTTTAAAAGGCCTTCTCCCTAATAGATTATTTGTTCTAGTTTCTCATGTTTTTCACTTTTAATCTGGAAATTTATTTTTGTGTAAGTTGCTTTCATATTTTTGTGGAGAATTTGTTACTTGTGACATTGGGTTTTCTATAGTTAAAAATATGACTAATAAGAATCTAAATATGAAAGAAGCTGTGATTTTCCTTAGCAAGTTAACTCTACTTGTATTGTTTCAAGGTGTAGAGTAAGATTAAAGTCAGGAAACTTGTTTCATTTTTAATTTGTTGGATTCCTAGGAACCTCAGTGTTGTGAATTTTGAACATTTTTTCCCATGAAATTATTTTTTATGGGGCCTTTCCTGGTGGCGCAGTGGTTGAGTGCTGGGCTGCGAAGCTGCCTGCAGTCTGTGCAGCGCTGGTTCGATCCCCGGCCGCCAGCAAGGGTCCCACATGGAGCGCAGACCTCTCCTGCCGCCCGCTGCTCCCCTCAGCAGTGTATTCCGTCAGTCAGCCTGTTCTACTCCCCGCTCTGGCTCTGATGAATTCTCTCACCCTCTGGCGCTTCTGACTGTACCTAGTGCTTGTATAAATAAATAAATAAATCTTTAAAAAAAAAAAAAAAGATATACCATTAAAAAAATTATTTTTTATGGAAAATTTTCAACATCTACAGAGTTAGTGAGAATAGTTTAATGAAATCTATGTATCCATCATCCCTCTTCAACAATTAATGGCTAGCTAGCTAGCTAGCTAGCTGGTTTGTTTTAACTATCCCCTCTTAACTCCCTAGTTCTGTTTTGATGCAAATACTAGACCACATGTCACTTCTATAAATATTTCAACATGTATCTCTAGAAGATAGACTTTTGTTGGAACACATCTTTAATACCACTATTTTATCTGAAAGAAAAATAACAGTAATTTCTGGGTTATTATAAACAAGCTTGTCAGTATTCAGGGATGTGTGTGTGTGTATGTATATGTTATTTCATTAGGATATTCATATGACAATTGTCATGGCTTTGACAGTTAATCTGAATGCATAGAAGTATGCATACTGGTAAAATGAGTGTATAATCCTGAATTTATAGCTATTGAATTATTTTTGATTCATTGAATTTCAATTAATTAAGTCATTTAAATATAATTTAAATTATTGTAATATTTTAGCTTTTATTTTTACCATGATTACAGATATCTCTAGTTTAAAGTATCAACTGGTGCATAAGGTTTCATATAAATTATATAAAAAAGCAAACATAGGACTTCTCTTTTAGTCAAAAAATGTATTTGAAATAATTTTAAATTTACACAGAAGTTGTAACAGTAGAGAGTCCCCATATATCTTTCATCTAGCTTCTGCAGTACCTCTGACAATTTAAGAAAAGATGAGTATTATAATCTAAAATAGACTTACACATTTGATTGATTGATAGGTCTTCTAATCTGTAGTCTCCTCTTATCTTTTTCCCCCTTCCATTTTGTTTGTTGGAAAAACTTAAATTTAAATAAATTCATCATGTACATTTTGTTTGTATTTCCACTGAATTTCTTTTTAGCTGTGATATTTGATCATTTCTTCTATTTAACATGTGAGTTTTAGATAAATGGGTATATGATGTAGCAAAGAGATTTGAAGTCAGAAAATCAAAGCTTAAGCCCATCTTAACTGTTTACTATAAGAACTGATCAGTGGTTTAATTTCCTCATCAAAATAAGACCATATTTTGGGGAGCTTTTCTAAGGATCAAGTAAGAGTACTAACTAAACACTTGTATTGCTTAATTATGAACTATGCTAGGTGGCAAGCTAGTCAGAGTAGCAGTTGTGTCCTTAAGTAGTTACAGTAGGGCCTCCCCGGTGGCGCAGCGGTTGAGCGCTGGGTTGCGAAGCTGCCCGCGGCCTCTGCGGCGCCAGTTCGATCCCCGGTTGCTCCCCGGCCACCGGAGGAGGGTCCCGCATGGCGCGCAGACCTCTCCTGCCGCCCGCTGCTCCCCTCAGCAGTGTACTTCGGTTCTTCTGCCTGCTCTGCTCCCCTCTCTGGCTCTGGTGAATTCTCTCGCCCTCCCGCGCTTCTGACTGTACCCAGTGCATGTGTAAACAAACAAACAAACAAACAAAACAAATAAATGAATAAAATGCATGCCTCTAAAAAAAAAAAAAAAAAAAAAAAAAAAAAAAAAAGTAGTTACAGTAAAGGGGAGTGATGTGGGTGAATCCTTAAAATCTGATTAGTAATGCAATTAAATTTTTTTCAAGGGTCATAGAAGGGACAAGCTCGTTGACTATCAGAGTGTGGTTTTTTGGGTGATATTGGTGGAGTTCAGTTAAAAGGAATAAGTAGGGATTCTCTGCATACATGCTTTTGGAGTCTGGGATGAAAGTGCAGCCTTTCATATTTCACCTGAAATGGGACTGGTTAGCAAGGTTAGCAGAAGGAGCAGTGCTTGGGGAAAATTATACCTGGAGAGAATTTGAGAGAGTCAGATGAGCTATCTAAAATTTTAGTTATTTCTTTAGGATGAACATAAAATTGACAGATTTTTCTGGCTCTGCTAGTTTACTTAATTACATGGGAATATCCATATATAATGTCCATATTTATAATGTATGCACAATAATCTTCTGGTTTACAGACACTTATTTTTTAGTGCGATAGTATTTGCTTATTTTCACATTAGCTTTTATTTTTGTCACCTCTATGAATTTGTCCAGTTATGTCTAGTTAAGTAATCTAAACGGAAGGCTTCTTCTGAAAAATAGCCCTCTCCTGAATTCTGCTCCCTCCTCAAGACAGCCACTTCCACATTTTAAATAACTTGCTCTTATTGCTACTTCTTGATTTTTAGCTTTAGGAATGATCTGTTGAATTCCTACTAGGCAAGATAAGAAATTAACTTTCTGCCTACACCTATCTCCATTATACAATTCTTCTTACAGTTACTTTATAGTTTTGGCTAGATTAATAATTAGTGTTTATAATGTTAGGACTAAACTATTAACAGATCATGTAGCCTCTGTGAATACTTCCCTTTTCTCTGTACAGTATATTTTCTCCTGAATTAATAATTGTCTTTTTTGTTTATTGGCTTCATTACATATACACCTATTTTTCTTAAACTCTCTTAGTTGTGTCAGTTAAACATTACGTTGGCAAGGTAAGTTGTATCTATTTCTTTTTTATGTGTGCTATATTTTAAAAATTACTACTTACTATTTTAATTAATCTGATCAACCATAACGTTCTTAATAGAAATAAGGGAAAAAATAACATGTAAGTAATTGATATTATCAAGAAATATTTATATTAAGTAGTAATTTAAAATCTGTAATGGAATATTTGATAAGGACTAATATTTAAATTATATTTGTTTCTTTGCTGAAATAGGTGATTTTTTAAAATTATGAATGCTCATTAAAGAAATAGAACTTAGGATTGTTACAATCATCAGTGAATCCTTTAGTCTCTGACATCTCCTAATTTGGGGGAAGGGACACACACAGAACTGATGTATGTAACTTATTGACCTGAAGACCTGATGAACTTAGTTTGCCCTCTTACCAGATGAGCTTCTTATAAATAATTCAATAAATTTTGAAATGATATTAGCTGTATCTCTATTTTATGTAAAAGTATAAAAATTTTGAAATAAAATAGACAGTTTTAATTTTTTTCAAACTTAATGGACCAGGAACCATTTTTAATAAAATATCTACTAATGTCTGTAGGACTTTATGTAAACTACTAAATAACATCATTTGGCTGCAAATTGTAGCAGAATATTCTGATATCTTTTTCTTTTTGGTTTTTTAGTGGCAAAAATGCTGAGCTTCCTCCGTAGAACACTTGGGCGTCGGTCTATGCGAAAGCATGCTGAGAAGGAAAGACTAAGAGAAGCTCAACGAGCTGCTATACATATTCCTGCAGCTGGAGATTCTAAGTCTGTCATCACGTGTCGGGTGTCCCTGCTGGATGGTACTGATGTTAGTGTAGACTTGCCGGTATGTAGGTCTTGCAAACCTGCAAATTGCTGTGGGTTAGTATGAATCAGAGACTAAGATTACAGGTACATGGATCAGGTAATTTAGGAACCTGGAATGATAGTATTTTTCTGGAATTAATGGCAGTTATCTGAATGATTTAAATATTAGAGCAGTTATTGGTGTGAACCATTTTGGATAATAGTACATAGTGTAGATAGTGTTTTTCTCACCATCTTTGTTGAGTACTTATTAAAGCAGCTAAGTAAGATCTTATAGATCTTGTAGATCTTTATATGTTTCTGTATTTTTAAAAACACTCCTCGCATCATTCCTCAGTACAAACCAGTTTTTTGTGCTTGCAGATATTTTAATGAAATGAAGTGAGAAAAAGAATTTTCTTCAAACCCTTCACCTCTGACTGCTTATGTCTTTGTTCCCAAAGTAGTTTTCAGGGGACATTTTTCTGTAATCTTTATTTCAAAACATGACTTTGTAATTAAGGTTTTTTTTTTTCCCCAGTTAGGAATAAATAATTATAACTCACAGAATGAAACAATCCATATATTTGAAAAAGGTTAACTTCTTTTTTCTTATAGATCTTTTTTTTAAGTGAGGGAAAGGGTGTGTAGCTTATGGTACTAGGGGAATAGAGTTTCTTTTTGGGTTATTGATTAAAAGAGATCTTTCTCATGTTTTTGTTCTGCATTAAAAGATTTGCATAACTAAGTTATAAAATGTGTGATTTGCTGTAATCTTCATAAGATTTTCCACAGTATCTTCCGTCCCCACAAACTTTTTGAAAAAACTATCGAAAATGCAATAAAAAAGTGTGTGTGCAAGGTGATGCTGCTACAATACTTAGTTGAATTAACTCTGGAAGCTGAAATGTCTTAAACTCAGTGAGAATTAAGGAGTTCATTTGTTTGTTTATATGAATATTCTGATTAGGCTATACTAGGTATATACCTTATACACTTTAAAAATAATGGAATATAAAATTAAAGATGCATACTATCTTAGTGTTTTGAATTATGAGTTTCTGTTTTATATTTATTATATATTTGTCTTTAGACTCCATATTTTAGGGTATTTTATTCTTGAAGACTAATGCATTTAAATTTTCTTCCTATAAGGACTTCTTGAGGGTTTGTCAGAAATTCCAATATGTGTTACTTTGTGCGGATAGTTTTCATATTCATTTCTTATTTGATAAGTAACTTAGGAGTTTTGTGTACTATTCCATTTAAAATATCATTACATATGTGGTGAAAAGCTTGAGATTGCTGTGTAAGAGACTGGGAAGGAGTTTCTTATTACCTAATGTTTAAAGTATGAAGTCTCAAACTTGTTGATGGAGAGGCTGATACTTGGAAAGCAGGATTTATTTGTAAAGGAGCTTTTTAAAAATGCAGTGTAGTGTGGAGGAGAAGCAGCACTGGGTTTTAAAGTAGTGGAACAAATGACTAGTGACTGGTATGGAATGGTTTTTCTTATGCTTGATATGCTCAGTAGGGCGTATGTGATGCTTGGTCAAGGCCAGAAATGCTAGCTGGCCTCTCCTGCAGACCATTGCACTGGAAAAACCAAGAGTTTTAGATTTGACTGTGAGATTACTACAACTGCCTGTTCAACTCTGCAGGTGAAGTCTTTGATTTTGTAAGTTAACTCTAGATGGTTTGCATGGATATAAAAAATGGGCATTGACCTGGCTGCTAAATTGCATTATTAAAAAAATAAAAACAAAAAACAGGCCAGAGGAATATTAATTTCTAAAGAAAAAGTTTTTCTCTTTTTCTTATTTAGCTTCTCAACCAGTCTTGTATGATTCTGGAAGATTTTGAACTGAATTTGGAAATTGAGTGCAGCATGCACTTTTTTTCCGTTAGGATTAGGGCAGTAGTAATCATAGTAAGCCAGCATGGAACTAAGATGATTGCCCAGGCAGCATAGAAGGGATTACCTGTGATGAAATAGAATGATTTAAATCTGTGCACTTCAAATTAATATGTACCAGTAATAATGGTAAGTTTTTTTTCCTCCTTTTCTCAGAATTGGTAGAGAGATTTAAATACCTACCACTCCTCCACCCCCCTTTTTTAAAGAACTAAATATAGTAAGGTTACCATTCAGTAAATGATAAACCATCAGGGAGAAACTTGTGATCTCATTTTTAAATTTTCTCTTTGAAAATGCCACAGTAATTCCTTTAGTTGATTTACAAGCTGAGTATTGTGTAGTAAAATACCCTGACCTGTAAAACTCTGCTTCGAGGTATTAAGTCAGTCAAAAATATTTGGCTAATCAATAGGTGATTTTTGTATACCTACTTTGCTGACCTAGATGCTGAAGGCTTATATAGCTATACCTTTAAATAAATGAAAAAAAACCCCATGTTCACAATTTTGAAGACTTAAAATAGTTAAGATAACAATATGCCCCAAACTGATCTGCAGATGTAACATAATACCACCAGAATACCATCTAACTAAATGTAGAAATTGATAAACTGATTTTGAAATTCATGTGCATTCCAAAATAGCCAAAGCAGAACTGATAAAGATCAAAGTAGTAGGACTTGAACTTCCAGTTGTAAGACTTACACTTCCCAGTTTTAAGACTTACTATAAAGCAGTGGTAAGATGGTTTGCTTTTGGCACAAAGATACACACACAGAGATCAGTGGGACAGAATAAAGAATTCAGATATAAACTCATTCATTTATGGTCCGTTGATATTTGGTCAAAAAGAATAGACTTTCAACCACTGGTGAGGGAAAACTTCGATAACCACATACAAATAATGAAGTGGGAACCTTACTTCACACCATATACAAAAATTAATATTCTTGGAAGAAAATGTAGGAATATATCTTCATGACTGTGGATTTGACACCAGTTCTTAGCTATGACACCAAAAACATGAACAATAGAAAAAATAAATTGTGTTTTTAAAATTAAATTTGTGGGCCTCCCTGGTGGTGCTAGGGGTTAAGCACAGCACCATGAAGCTGGTGCTCTACAGCACGAGTTCAGTCTCCAGTCAACCAAGCAGATACCCACATGTCTCAGCCGACCTGTCCTGTCTTGCCCACTCTTCCCCTCAGCAGTGTATTTCAGTCAGTCTACCTGTTCTAGTCCCCACTCTGTCTCTGGTGAATCCTCTTACCCCCCACGCTTCTGGCTTGTACCCCAGTTCTTGTATGCATAAATAAACAAATCTTTAAAAAAAGTAAATTTGTGTGTCAAAAGGACAAGGACACCATTAAGAAAGTGAAAGGAAAATTGAGCTTGGGAGACAAAGCAAGATTCAAATTATAGTGTTATCTTTTGTTTTTTGTTTTTGTAGCTGTGTGATTTTTGTCATAAACGGTCTCAGTTTTTATCTTTGTTATGTTTGGTAAGTGAATAAGTCACAGTCATCAGGATTAATGGGAGTAATAAGTGTATGTAAATTTAAAAAAAAAATTGAAGTGCCAGCACTCAGGTACAAAAGTTAAAATGACAAAATAAATGAAAAATAGTTAAGGAAAATATAGAGATTGATTTCCCAGAATTAGAAAGCTGAAAGATACCTGATTGAAATGCAATGTACAATGCCTGCAATATAATAGAGTTAAAAAACTCATACCTAGACCCATTATAGTGAATGTTAGGATGGTCAGACTTAGAGAAAAATATAAGACTTTACTAAGAGAATAACATTTTTTTTTTTTTTTTTTTTTTTTTTTTTTTTTTTTTTTTTATAGAGGCATGCTTTATTTATTTGTTTGCTGGTTTGTTTGTTTTGTTTATACATGCACTGGGTACAGTCAGAAGCGCGAGAGGGTGAGAGAATTCACCAGAGCCAGAGCGGGGAGCAGAGCAGGCAGAAGGACCGAAGTACACTGCTGAGGGGAGCAGCGGGCGGCAGGAGAAGTCTGCACGCCATGTGGGACCCTCCTCCGGTGGCCGGGGAGCAGCCGGGGATCGAACCGGCGCCGCAGAGGCCGCGGGCAGCTTCGCAACCCAGCGCTCAACCGCTGCGCCACCGGGGAGGCCCAAGAGAATAACATTATTAATGAACAAGATTTAGATTGACATTACATTTTTCAACAGCGTCATAGATTGCAAGAAGATGATAGAGTAATATATTTTGAGTATTGAAAGAAAATAACTTGAAATCTTGACTTTTATATCTAGCTAACTGATTAAAATATTCTTAAACATAGAAGACCTTTGAAGATAAGCCATACAAAATCCTTCTTGGGGGACATTTTGGAGGAAGAACTGAAAAGTGTGGAAAAACAAATATAACAGATGGTACTAGATGTGTGTAATGTACACACATATAAGACATGGGTGACATTTTTCATCAAATACCAAAATAAAGATTGTCTTAAAAGTTAGTCACAAGCAAAGGAAAGAAATAGAAGTATGCAGCTGAAACAAGATGAGTATTGGGTAGAGGGCAATCAGAGACATGAGTCTTATCTTGATAAAGAGATACATGGATAATAATTTTATTTATCAAAAAGGAAGGATGTAAAGATAAATAATTTTGTATACCTGTTTTGCTGAGCTGATGCCGAAATCTTAAATATTTACACCTTAAATAAAAAAGCACAGGAAAAAAAAGAAGACAAGTTGAAATAATAAGGTTAAATAAAAGGTAGAGGTTAATGATTAAATTAAAAACACAACTTGGGCCTCCCTGGTGGCGCAAGGGGTTAAGCACCACACTATGAAGCAGTCTGCAGTCTCTGCAGCACGAGTTCAATCCCCGGCCGGTCCGGAGCAACCCACGTGGCGAGGCAGACCTTTCCTGTCTCCCCTCTGCTGCTCCCCTCAGCAGTGTATTTTGGTCAGTTTGCCTGTTCTGTTCCCCACTCTGTCTCTGGTGAATCCTCTAACCCCTGCATCTCTGGCCTGTACCCCAGCTGTTGTATGCATAAGTAAGTATAAAAAAAATTTTTAAAAAACACAACCTAACGTATGTTTATATATAAATGTACATTTATAAATGATAAGAAATACCTAAACCACAATTTAAAATTTTATAGGGGGAGGGAAATGGATGGGTACATATATTTATATGTTTATAAAAATAACTTTCACAAAAAACCAAAAATATAATGAGTACCTTTGTTTTATGCCCCTTTACAAATCTTGTTAATGCCTGGTTTAATAGAACATACTTGATTCTTTTATCTCCTTTTGCATTCACTCTATTGCATTGTGTTGTTTTGAGGTTCCTGAAGAGAATCCTAGGGCATTGTGTATCTTTTGAAAGGATCTGGAGACTCCTCGGGGGCTGAGAGACCATACTTTGAGAGTTTTTTTTTTTTTTTTTTATATAAATTTCTTTGCTAGTAACTACCCCCTTCAGTTTTGTATTTTCTGCATTGATGACAGAAATTTTCTCATTGTCTTATACTCCCTCCCACTTTACATTTTTTATTGTTCTATTTCCTACCTTATATTGTTTTCCAGTTTACATCTCATCTTCTCCAAGCCACCTTCTGATGATTCTCATTGCTGACTATCTCTTCTCTAAAATCTGTTGTCAACTATAATTTCACATGATTTGTACTTCTATGTTTTTCTCTTTCTGCTTACATTATAAAGCTCTTTTTAAAATAGGGGCTCAAAAATTTATATGACAAAAGAAGAGTTCCTCCTTATAGCCTTACCTACAATGTAATATTTGTTGGTTGATAAGAAGTGAAGTTCTCGGGGAAGTCACCTATAGGTCACAACTTCTCTTTTGACTTTGTGTGTGTGTTTATTTTTTTTTTTGGAAATTTATAGTATCTTACCCATTACCTCATGATTTGGTAACGCAGACAATGCTTTTGAAGAGTTCTTACATAAACACCTTCAGTTCAGATTTCATTATCTTATAAGCTACTTACTGATTAACCTATTTTCTTCTTATTTCAGAAAAAAGCCAAAGGACAAGAGCTGTTTGATCAGATTATGTACCACCTGGACCTTATTGAAAGTGACTATTTTGGATTGAGATTTATGGATTCAGCTCAAGTAGCAGTGAGTAGCTTTTTTTTTTTTTTTTTAAAGATTTGTTTATTTATACAAGAACTGGGGTACAGGCCAGAGGTGTGGGAGGGTGAGAGAATTCACCAGAGACAGAGCAGGGAGTAGAACAGGCAGACAGACTAAAAGCACTGCTGAGGGGAGCAGCGGGCGAGACAGGAGAGGTTTGCCATGCCATGTGGGTATCTCCCTGGCTGGCCAGGAATCGAACCCACGCTGTAGAGGCTGCGGACAGCTTCACAGCGCGGCGCTCAACCCGCTGTGCCATCAGGGAGGCCCAGTGAGTAGCTGTTTTTTTGTAGCTTCCATTATGGGGGCAGAAATGAGATATGAGGCTTGCTTTTTTTTTTTTTTTAGATTTATTTATGAAACAGCAGCTGGGGTACAGGCCGGAGGTCGGGGGGGGGGGGGGTGAGAGAATTCACCAGAGACAGAGTAGGTAACAGAACAGGCAGATTGACTGAAATACACTGCTGAGAGGAGCAGCGGGTGAGCCAGGAGAGGTATGCTGCACCATGTGGGTAGCTCCCTGGCCAGGGATCAAACTCGTGTTGCAGTGGCTGTGGATAGCTTCATAGGTTGCGTCTTAACTCCTTGCGCCACAAGGGAGGCCCCTGAGGCTACATATTCTCGACACTTTCTTTTTCTCCTGTGATTTTCTTACGGCCTGAAGCTTTGATTCAGTATCCCCCGATGTGCTTGTAAGGGAAAAAATGAGTTCTGCCTCTAACCCAAATTACTAGAGTAGGATCTTTGTGGATGAATATTGAAATCTGTCTTTTTAATAACTACTGGATGGGTTATTGGGCATGCTGGAGCTCTGTTTGAGAAATGCTGCGTACTGGAAAGAATGCGAGAATGGGAATTTTGTGGGTTCTTAGGTAAAGTAAAATAGAAGCTTCTAATTTGTAAGTTAGTGTAAGTAGAATAGGATATCTCTAACATACCTTCTAGATCTGTGATTCTGATTTTATAAATATATGTTCTTTTACATGTGCAGTTCAGATAAGAGAATAGCATTTATGATAATATAGGAAGTTGGAAGCTTTGGAAGATTTTCAAAGAATAATAGTTCTCACTGTTCTTTTTGGAATGTCTGTGTGTGAGAGCGATTAATAAATTAGCTGGAATACCTCTATAAGATATTTCAAAACATCCACATCCTTTGGAGATGAATACCAAAGTTGGTTTTATGGAGCATCTTGTCTAACCTATAACTGTTAATAATGTTGATTGTCAATTTTTTTCCTATTCCTGATCCCACCTTCTATTAAAAAGAAAAAAAAAAGCATGAGCAGTTGGCAGTAAGGTGTTGTCTAGGTAAACCTGGGTATATCCTTACAATGAAATACTTTGTAGCTAGTTGAAGATGGTGATTTTTAAGTGTAAGTGTACTAATTGGTGTAAGTGATGTAAACAGTGATAAAAAGTGTTACAAAGCAGTGTTAACTAAATTTTTCTTATCAGGAATAATCCTAACTGAATGGTTTGAACTCACCAATTAAAAGGCGCAAAATTGGGTTAAAAAGCATGACTAATCCATACTTAGCATACAGGAGACTCACTCAAACCTAAAGACAAATACAAACTTAAAGTAAAAAGTTGCAGCATGCCACTTCAAGCCCCTAACACAGAGAAAAAACAGTAACTGCTTTTCTCCTATTCAATAAATTAAACTCAGCCAAAAAAAGTAATCAGAGATAAACACAGACACTAAATGATGATCAAGGAAATAATTCAACAAGCAGATAAAACTGAAAACAATAGTTATGCACCTAACACAGGTGTACCTAGTTGTATAAAACAGCTGTTAATAGACCTAAAGCAACACATGGACAGCAGTAACAGTTGGGGATTTTAGTATACCACTTCCATCAACAGTTAGATCATACTGACATTGTTCACAAGGAATTATGGCCTTAAATGAACTATGAAAACAGATGAACTTTATGGTTATTTATAGAATTTTTGATATCCAAAGAAATGAATACACCTTCTTAAGTGCATATCGGACATTCTCAAGGATAAACCATACCCTGGAGCACAAAACATGTCTCAAAAAATACATGAAAATAGATTATACCAAACATCTTCTTTGTTTACAATGGTATAAAACTAGAAATCAACCACAAAAAGGAATTCGGGATAAAAAAATGAAACGTGAAGGCTAAACAAAATGCTTTTAAAGAATTCTGGGTCAGTGAAGAAACCAAGGGAGAAATAAAGTATTATCTGGAGACCAATGAAAATGAAGAGACAAGCTGCCAGATCCTGTAAGATAAAGTAAAAGCTATACTAAAAGGGAAGTACATTAGCAATACAGGCCCACATCAATAAGCAAGAAAAACCTCAGTCTGACCTTACATCTGGAACAACTAGAAAAAGAACAAGTGAAACCAAAAAATCAGTAAAAGAATGAAAAATTGGAGTGGACATAAATAGATAGCTCAAAAGATCAATGAAACCAGCAGTTGGTTCTTAGAGAGGACAAACAAAATTGCTGAACACTTAGTTACATTCACAAAAAAAGGAGAAAACACAAAAGAATCAGAAATGAAAGAGGTTGCAGAATTACAGAGGATCATAAGAAACTACTGTGTGTTCTTTATGCAAACAAATTTGACAGTCTAGAAGAAATGGAATTTTTTAGAATCATACAAACTTCCAAGACCAAACCAGGATGAAATTGATAGCTTATCCAGAACAATCACAAGCATAAGAATTGAAAGAGCAATCAGAAGTCTCCCTAAAAGCAAAAACCAGAACCAGTGAATTCAGCCAAAACTTCAAAGAGGATATAACACTTACCCTTTTCAAACGTTTCAAAAAAATGAAGAGGGGGGAATCTGCCAAACACTTTTTATGAGACCACCATTAGCTTGGTCTCAAAACCAAAGAAAGTACAAAAAGAAAACTACAGACCAATCTTCTGATGAACAGAGCTGCAAAAATCCTCAACAAAATCTTAGCAAATCAAATCCTGCAGCATATTAAGATGATCATCCATCATGACCAAGTAGAATTCATTCTGAGGATGCAAGGCTGGTTCAACATTTACAAATCAACCATCGTAAAAACAAAGAGGCACCCTATAGACTGTAAGATGATACGTGCACATCACACATGACAAGCTGTTATTTTCTAAAATATATAAAGAATCCATACAACTCAACTACAGAAAAACCCAATCAAAAAAATGAGCAAAAGACCTAATAATTATTTCTCCAAAGAAGAAAAAGAAATTTAGGTACTATTTCTTTAAAAAAACGCAAAAGTTGTCCTTGCTTTGGCAGCACATGTACTAAAATAGGAATACAGAAAAGATTAGTATGCCCCTTGCACAATGGCTAAGATATGGAAACAACTGAATGCCCAAAAACATTACTGGATAAAAAACATGTGCTATATATACACAATGGAGTAGTATTCAGCGATCAAAAAAAGATAAACTCATGCCATTTGGATGGAGCTAGAAGGGATATTGCTCAGTGAAGTAAGTCAAAAGGAAAAAGAAAAATATCAGGTGTTTTCACTTGTAGGAGGAATATAGGGAACCAAACAAGGGGTCAGGGAAAAAAAAAAGGCAACTAGCAGGCAAACTCTCAACCAGGCTTACAGCAGGGAAAGGGTCATTATGCTGAGTGAACAAGCCATTCTCAAAATGACACTGTATGCCTTCATTTCTATAACATTCTTTAAATGACAATTATTTATAGTGAGAGAGATCAAGTTAATGGGTGCCAAGTTTTAAGGTAGATGGGAGTGACTAAAGGAGTAATATAAGAGAGCTCTTTGTAATAATGGAATATTTATTTATCTTGGTCATGGTTGTTAACTACAGGAATGTAAACCTGTGATAAAATGGCATAGAACTATACATACATACCTTGTACCTATACAAGGTACAAGTTTTGTGATTAAATCACAGTTTTGTGGTTTTAAAATTATAGTTATGTAAGATGTAAGTATTGGAGGAAGGTGAGGGAAGGGTACACAGGAACTCTTGCTGTTTTTGCAACTTTCTATGACCAACAATAAAATTCTTTATAAAAGAAAATTATTGTGTAGGCCAAACAAAATGTATCTCACCACCAAGATTTAACTCTGATGTGTTTGTGACCTCTGCTTGGTGAAGTTTTTAAAACTCTATGTCTGGTAAGAACTGAAACCATAAAATACATAGAAGGAAATATAGGCGAAACACTACGTGATATGCACATCAAAGACATCTTTACAGACACATCACCCAAAGCAGTGATAGTGAAGGCAAAGATAAACAGCTGGGACTACATCAAATTAAAGAGCTTCTACACAGCAAAAGAGACAACAAAAACAAAGAGAAACCCCACCGACTGGGAGAACATTTTTGCACACAACACTAATGATAAAGGACTGATCACAAAAATCTACAAAGAGCTGATGAGACTCAACAACAACAAAGAAAATAATCCAGTCAAAAAATGGGCAGAAGAGCTAAAAAGAAACTTCTCTGAAGAGGAAATGCAAATGGCCAACAGGCATATGAAAAAATGTTCAACATCACTTGTAATCAGGGAAATGCAAATCAAAACTACCATAAGATACCATCTCACACCAGTGAGAATGGCACATATTAAAAAAACTAGCAACAACAAATGTTGGCGAGGATGTGGAGAAAAAGGAACTCTTCTGCACTGTTGGTGGGAGTGCAAACTGGTCCAACCACTATGGAGAGCTGTGTGGAGATTTCTTGACCTACTAAACATAGAGCTTCCATATGATCCAGCAATTCCACTCCTAGGTATTTACCCAAAGGACACAGAAACATCAATTCCAAAGAGCACCTGCACCCCTATGTTTATAGCAGCACTATTTACAATAGCTAAGCTTTGGAAACAACCCAAATGCCCAAAAATAGATGACCGGATCAAGAAGATGTGGTACATATACACCATGGAATATTACTCAGCATTCAAAAAAGATAAACACATGCAATTTGCAGCAACATGGATGGT